TTGTGAGGGAAGCGGTTAAGGTCATATTTAAAAGTTTTATCAATTATGCAAATTAACATATTAAAAATGATGAACAGGCTCTGCTAAGCACTGGTAATTGCTGGTTTGACCGACTGCGTGTTGTTTTTATGGTTTTCCTCTTTTGTAATATAAAATGAACAGTTTTTAGTATTCAAGGACATTTTTTTTCTTGCTAATATATGCACGTATTTATAATCTACATATTTAAATTGTAATAGTAGGTATGCATCAGTTGATTTGAAAAGCATTTAAAAGCTTATTTGATGCTTTGTGTGTTGCCTTTTTCTTAGGATTGTAATTTTTACAATTTTCATAGTCAGCCCTAGGTATTGTTTCTAAATTTAGAGTAGAAACGCTTTAGATAAGTTTTAATATAATTAAAAATCCATCTCATAAATTGTCACTTGGAAATTATTTTTTTAAGGAATAATTTTATATAAATACCTGGAATCCACATGTAAAGATTAAGGGAATTTTAAATATTGAATATTAGTGTTATATTTTAAATATACATGCATTTTATGCATGTTCCAAATAAATATTCCATAATGTTCTAAATAAATATTAATATATTAAAAAAATTAAAAAATAACGGCATAATTTATTTATTATTATTTTTTTTTAGTTGCACTTTATCTTTAGACACAGAAATCCTAAAAATGGTAGTTTTGAAGAAAAGCACTGGAAGCGTGCCACTTCAGTTCCTAAATTGGATGATGTTTTTAAGGATAAGAAACCACATTTATTTACCTTAAGTAAGTTTTATTATTATTATCTGTTAGTAATTTGCTTGTTTTAAAATTTTGTCTGTTTCATCTTATGGACTTTTTTTTTCAGTAATTAATCCTGATAACAAGTTTGAAGTTCTTATGGATAAACAAAGTGTCCATAAGGGTAATCTTTTAGATGACTTTAAGTAAGTAAATATTGGACACTTTTTTTGGTTATTTTATCTTAAATAACTCATAAGTTATGTTAATATAATTAGTGTTGTGGGATTGTTTAATCTCAAATCTGTAGTACCCCCACAGAAATAAAAAAATGTTTTTATGTCAACTCTGTAATAAATTTGTAAACTCTTTGTTGACAGATTATAACTTGGTAACTTGGTTTTCATTTTTGATTTATACATATCTATAATTTATTCATTTCTCACTCGTACTCTAGTCCACCTGTCAATCCTGAAGCTGAGATAGATGATCCAACTGATATCAAACCTACTGATTGGGATGAAAGAGAAAAGTAATTTTTTCTCCTTTCATATTTTATAACTGTCCTGTCTCTAGTTTGTACTAGATGTTTGAAAAAAAGTATTATAGGCTTTATTTCTTTAAATTTGATCTAGGGCATTTGTTTTCATTAAAATATCTCGCAGAATAAGGTGAATTTTCTGAGAAGAGTTTCAGCAGTAGAACAAGATGATTCTGTAAATTTAAAGTCTTAATTTTTTTATACTGTTCCCAATGACTGTCCACATCCAGCCAGTAAATCAATTATTGTACATTACAAAGATAATTGTAAAAAATTGCATGATATTCTCACTGAACAAGATTCAAAGCTGGTGAATTTTGAGACTGACTATGGCATACTCATTCAAAATGTTAATTAAATTGTCATATCTATCACTGGAAAAGAACACTGGGATGGTTCTGAGGAAAACTTGCTTGTTTGTTCATTGTCATTCCACTTTGACATGATAAAAATAATGTGAGCATTCTTATCCCTTCACTTGATTAAAGACGTGCTATTTTGCATTTGTCAGTAGTCATCATTTTACTGCTATAATCACATGTAATAAAATATGATAGCATCCTATTTCATCCTATTTCATGTTTCATTTTCAAATCAACTGTAAACACAGCAGATTTGTTAAGAGAAAAATTGGTACTTGCATATTATGCTGTCAACTGTCCATGTAGTGCAATTTAGACTCAATTATGTTTGGCTGTAACCTTTAAAATTCTGCTGTAATGATTGGTGATCATTGTCAAAATTTCTGCCGACGGTCGACAGGATAATACATTAGTACTGAAAAACCAGTTCCTTTCCTTGCATACACGTACATTTATGAACAATATGTACCTTATATGACTATAGTCTTAATCAGTAACTTAATGTGTGATATAAAACTTCTAATTTCCGTAACAAGTAGTGGTGTCTTAAATTTTAGAAAATGCTTAATTTTGATTTAAGCTGCATAGAAAAATGATTCAGCTTGGTAAATTTATTTTATACTGTGAATTTATTTTATACAAATTTTGAATACAAAGATACGGATTTTTTACCTGTTTACTTAAAAATTAATAGCAAATATTTTAGTAATCCAAATTTTTGCCTTATGACTGATGTATGAAAAAATGTACTTTATATCTGTAGGAACTTCCTATCCACAATGTTAAAGTTCTTATTGAAATGCTGTACCTTAATCTGAGAAACTTTACGTGGAGTTGTGCATGGCAAGGATCAGTATTTAATGGAAACAAACTTGTAATCACCATTATTGAGTATCCTGTAGAATAAAATATTTAAGTTTTACTGCCACAGCGACATTACAATTTTGATTTCTTGTGTTCAGGTTTTATCAAATCTTTTTTTTATTTTTAGGATTCCAGATCCTACAGCCACAAAACCGGATGACTGGTAATTTATCTTATTTCATATTCTGTTATAATAAAATATTTAATTAGTTTATCATTTTAATTTCAGTTTTATACTGTGAGACATCAAACTCTTTCAAGATTTTATGCTACTTACAATAGTAATTCTGTGCAGTTATGTTTATATTTCTGTAATCTTAACATCTACATATTTATTATTATTGAAGTGCTTTTTGTCACTGTTGATCTAATGGATGAAATAGATAGCTATTAGAAAATTGTTATTAGAAATTCAAAACCTTAACTTTTTATTTGCTTTAAAATTTTTAGCTTTGTGTTTGAAGTATAGAATCTGAAAATTTTATTGCTATAAATCAATTTATTTGCTTTAAGGCAATCATGTTTTCAAATCATTTAATCAGAGTTTTTTAAAGACCCCACCCCCCCCCCAAAAAAAAAAAAAAAAAAAAACCTCTTGAAGCTTAATGAATTTTGCCATACACATTTAAAAAGGTTACCATAGAGTTCTTTTTTACAGTTTTTGATATGTTTGATTTTTTAAGCTATTCAAAGATTGCAGTTTCCAAAACATTTATGTAATTCTGCAAAATAAAAAGGGTAAATCATTATTCAGAAATAAACATGAGATTCTATTCCCCCTAATTGCTTACTGGAATCAGATAGCTCAGAAATTGTAAATATTAGTTTTTGCAATTCTCAAAGTTTAAAAGTTCTTGCAATTGGCACTACTTATAATGCCCAAAAACGATTGCTTCATTCATTCTGGTAGATTTAACATATATGGTAAAGTTTTGTATTTACCAACATTTTCTGTACTTTTCATTGTTTATTTTGTAAAATACATTTAAAAGTAATCTAAATATATATACACACACATATAATATCTATAATATAAATGTATATGCACACACACACACATATGTGTGTATTTTTCAAGTTTTGGAAAGAAAGGGCAAATGATGATCTTGGAAAAAATGTTGAGAACTACTCCTAGATGATTAAAAATAAAAACTTGGGCTCTAATAACATCTGTGCAAGAAATTTGGATTGCCCAATGCTCTTAAAAAAGTTCCCACTGTCTTATTGTTTCCTAATCAATATAATAATTGTTGAAGTAAGTGATTGAAATGCATATTATGTAATTGTGAAATTTGATTTGGTAAATCATGCATGAAGTCTTTTTGGGGATTCCTAGCTATTTTAAAATTTAGAACATTTTTTTCATCTCATGATATCATGTATTAGGCTCATCACACATACTGCAGAAGTCCTATATTTGAAGCAATCTTAATGTTTATAGTCAATCTGTATATATCCACTTATGAAATCATATTTTGTGGTTTCTTGTTTTATTTGTTAACATTTTAATAGATACCCAAATAAGATTGCATTTTATTTTTTGAGTGTGATCTGCACTGAGTGCATGAGCTTTGTTGCTTTTTATCGTGGGGCTCTCATTTTTGTAGCAGGACACTTCTTAATTTAATTCTTATCTTAAATTTTTTCAATGTTGCGAATCTTCTAGTAACTCCTCCCTTAGGAAACCATTTCTGTAAATAACTAGTACTGACTGTTGATAAATAATATCAATTCAGAAGTCAAACAACAAAAATCAGCGTTATACCTACAAAATTTTCACAGGACTAGTTTCGATGGTTTTACCGAACCATCATCTTCAGCTGCAAAACCGCAAATGAACAAGATAGGAAATAATGATTAGATAAGATAAGAAAGCCTGGACAAGAATAAGCAAGTGGTGCCATCTGTTGGCGAAACCAGAACTAAAACATAATTTCTCTAAAAGCCGAAGGCAAATTTGGATTGGAATTAGGATCGTTAACTAGAACAGAAAGATTTTTATGAATGTGAAATGCTTCTAGAAAATCCAGTTCTCCAATGGAATGTTTTTTTTGAATAATTTTTGGCAGCAGAAAAATTGAATGAAAATGTGATTTTCGGACCAAACAATGTTGAGCAGCAGAAGACCTCTGTTTTTTTCCTTTTTCTAACATATGCCTCATGTTCTTTGACGCGAAATTTTAAGGCTCTCTTAGTTTGGCCAATGTAAATTAAACCACACTGGCAAGGAATCCTATAAATACCCCAGGAATTCATATCCGGAAGGGGGGGTCCTTGAGTATAGAAGTTGGAATTTTATTGATGGGAGAAAAAACAACCCAACCCGAAAGTTAACATTTCTGCAAAATATGTGCAACTAAAGCAATTCTGCTTAAAATATGATGCAACTTTATAGCTAATGGAAAGAAGGGAATGACAACAGAATTTTTTATAATCTCCTAAAATTAGAGTGTGGCTTTTAGTGTGTTGAGATGAGAATTTTTTAACTGCTTGAATAATGTTGGGTGGAAAGCCCCTGTCAATAGCTATTGCTTTTAAATAATTTAGTTCTTCATCAAGGGCTAGTTTGGAGGAGCAAACTTGAAGAGCACGGAAAACATAGGAATAAAATGAAGCTAACTTTGTTTTAGTCGGATGACATGATTTAAAGTGTGGTGGAAGGCAAACCGATGAAGGTTTACGGTAAACTGTAGTACTGAAGTTGGATGTGTTATGTGTGACCAGAATGTCGAGAAACGGAAGAGAATTGCAAGTCTCAAGTTCAAAAGTGAACTGAATAGCAGGATCAATAGAATTAATTGTTGAAAGAACTTTATTTAAATCATCTTTATTACCTTCAAACAGGGTAAAAGTATCGTCTACATAGCGGAACCATGCCGGGAAGTTTAAAGTTTCAAACAATTTTGATTCATAATAATGCATGTAGATATCAGCCAGGATGGGACTGAGGGGACTTCCCATGGCTAATCCCTCAGTTTGCTTGTAATATTTATTTTGGAAAACAAAATGTGTTGTTTCAAACAGAGTTGAGTGAGAGAAATTAGCTCATCAATTTCGAGCAAGAGAAATGAAATTCGCGAAGTCTGGTTTCTAGACATCTTAATGCACCCTCCACCGGGACATTGGTGAATAATGATTTTACATCAAAAGAAACCATGAGTAAATTACTAGGAGAAATGTTTTTAACCTTTTTTACAAACTCTATTGAGTTTTTTATGGTGTAAATGTTATTGTCTAATAGAGTGGAAAATCTAGAAACTAAATTTAGCTAAAGGATACGAGGCAGTAGCTAAATTTGATACAATAGGGCGGAAAGGAATACCACTTTTTACGAATTTTGGGGAGAAAGCATATTAATCTGGCACAATTCGCAACAGATGGTATAAGCGAATGTTTTAAGTTGCTTGAAATGATTTGCGAAGATTTGATCGCAGTTTTTATTTTGGATAAGTCCGAAGGTGAAGGATCTTTAGGGATCGGATTATATGGTCCTTCGTTTAAGAGTTTAGTGACACCATCGATGTAAGTGTTCTTATCCATGACGACTATCTGGCCACCTTTGTCGGCCTTTGAAATGATAATATCCGGTTTAGAATGAATTTCACGCATTGTAGCTCTTTCTCTCGCAGTTAGATTGGTTTCAAAGGTTTATTATTGAATTTCACATTATGAGCGATAAGATGCCTAATCATTTCTTTCTGTGAATCTGAAACTTTACTGAACTTGAAAGCTTTTTCGATAGGAGCCCAAAATCTTTGGAATCGAGGGTTTTACAGGTTTGTGAGAAAGTTAAAATTTATATTTTAGAATTCTCTCTTGTTCTTCTGAAAGACTAACATTAGAAATATTAACTATTGGCTTGATGTTTACAATGGGAAGATTTTTTGAACTACTTGAACTGGAAGACTGTAAAAGAAGTATTTCGAATTTAACTGCAAGGGTGTTTTTATGACGGTTAACTGCATTCTCCGTTCTAGACCAAGACTTTTGTTCAAGGGCCCAGTGAATTTTGGATATGTTTTAGCGAGTTTCCAGATGAAGCTTATAGAGTTCATGTTCAACTTTGGACAATTATTGACGTGTATCCCTTACCACGGACCGAAGTAAGGCAAGCTTGCAATTTAACAGAATTCTTGAAACGCGACTCGAAAGTTTTTGATTAGATTTGATTTGAATAAAATTGGGGATCAATTTTTTACATTTACATTTAAGTAAAAAAGTCAAGATGATTCAGGAATTTTTGCCGTTTCAGGCGTAATTTAGTGAAACGATTAACGGATGAAGGCATGATAAACAATGCAGAAAATCAAACTAAATTAACTGAGCAATAATAAAGTACACACAAAACAGCAGAAAAATCCCTCACTGAAATGAATAGAAAACAAAACGTTTGTAAGCAAAATGCATGAAATCAGACAAGCAAAGCACAATATCCAAATGTACAAAACATAAACATAACTTGAAAATTGCAAAAAAGTATCCACCACACTGCCTTCCACCACACTTTAAATCATGTCATCCGACTAAACAAAAGTTAGCTTCATTTTATTCCTATGTTTTCCGTGCTCTTCAAGTTTGCTCCTCCAAACTAGCCCTTGATGAAGAACTAAATTATTTAAAAGCAATAGCTATTGACAGGGGCTTTTCACCCAACATTATTAATCAAGCAGTTAAAAAATTCTCATCTCAACACACTAAAAGCCACACTCTAATTTTAGGAGATTATAAAAATTCTGTTGTCATTCCCTTCTTTCCATCAATTAGCTATAAAGTTGGACATATTTTTCAGAAATTTAACTTTCGGGTTGTTTTTTCTCCCATCAATAAAATTCCAACTTCTATACTCAAGGACCCCATTCCGGATATGAATTCCTGGGGTATTTATAGGATTCCTTGCCAGTGTGGTTTAATTTACATTGGCCAAACTAAGAGAGCCTTAAAATTTCGCATCAAAGGACATGAGGCATATGTTAGAAAAAAGGAAACACAGAGGTCTTCTGTTGCTCTCAACATTGTTGGTCCGAAAATCACACTTTCAATTTTTCTGCTGCCAAAATTATTCAAAAAAACATCTTCCATTGGAGAACTGAAATTTTCTAGAGGCATTTCACATTCATAAAAATCTTTCTGTTCTAGTTAACGATCCTAATTCCAATCCAAATT